GGGGAAATTAATAGACGAGGATGAGATGGTTAAGATATGTGTTACACATGTCTAGCCATCACCTTCTTCGACGGGAAATATTACCTGACATGGAATAGATCAGTGTGGAAAAGAGCTAGTGGTGGTCGAGCCAAAACATGGCACCAGTCGAAGAAATCTACATCAGTTAATCTAAGCTGGTTACGTAGGAAGGTGTAGACTACCTGACTAGTTGGGGTCCTCGGGATGCTAAAAACCAATGAAGGCTGGAGACAATTGGTGATATGACTCAAAATCGTTCTCAATGGCTGGCGCAGATGCATCCACTCCTTATGATTTAGAATATCCAATAAAACTCTATCGTTCTTCGATATTACTATTCTTTTTGCCTCATATCTCTTTATAATCTGTCTTTTGAATCTCTTTTTACTTTCTTCTCTTGCTTTGTGTGATAAGTGGAGGGAGTGTGGCAGCTGGAACTGGTGCACATCAGTGCAAAGCTCCGTGTTTAAGTCAGTCAATCAATTCGAGTTGTAGTTAATTTTCACCTTAAATTTATGCCAATTAAAAATTATTGTTTTTATCTTTTCAGAATCTAAAATTATTGAACAAGCTGGTGGGTACACTTTCTCACCAGTTATTCCAAGTAATTTTGAGTTTGGATCACCAAATGGACAGGCGAAATAATTCAACCTTCACAATGTTTGTATAAATAATGATAAAAATAATTGATTAATCAATTAGTTAATTAATTGGGTTGATTAAGTAGGGGAAACAAAGTGTACACTCTACACACATTTCACATCCTTGTCTCAATATATCTTGAATAACCTTTTTAATTGGACAAAAACAGACAACAATGCAATAACCGTGTGCTTCTCTCCCTCTCTCTCCTTCGCATTATTTGTCAGATGATCTCTACTCATCCTTTCACCACCTAGCAATGTACACACACACACACACTCACTCACATGGGGAGAGACACAGACTTGTTCTTCAATCTTCTGAGCTATTTAGTCCGCTGTTTTCGGTTTCTCTAGAAGAAAAAAAGAGAAACAACAATTTTAAAACTATTTCTATGATTTCTTTTTGGGCTTTGCTTCATAACTGTAATTTTCTTTCGTTTTTTTTGTCTCCTTCACACACCTCCATTGATGATGACCACTGTCATTTCAATGTGTCAGTGGCTTGATTTTTCTTGGGACTATTATTATTAATATTATTATTATTATTAATATTATTACTATGATTTTTGAATGAAATGATGATTGGTTCTATGCTCCTTTGGTGAGCAATCGCTTTGATTTGTTTTTTATTCAGGAATTCTCTTTTTTTAATTATTCCTCATAGTTTTGCCCCCACACTACCCCTCCTTTCTGCAACTAGATCCTCTATTTGATCTTATGATTTGTAAGTGATGCGTAACAAGTTCTATACATATATATATTCACATATACATTATATAGTCATAAGAGGTGGTTTAGTATTGATTGCTTTTTGTTTTCTTCATTCTCTTCTTTTCTTCCCTGATTGGTAATATTGACTGTGACTCATTGTATCAGATATTATTATGATACACTGTGTCCTTCTTGATTGTGGTGTTATGTTGACGAAATGTTATGATTTTTACAAGAATGTCTTTTTTTTAAAGGAAGTTTGAAACGAAGACTAGACCTACTATTA